GCGTTCAGAGATTATAAATATACTAGATAAATAAGGGGCTATTCCAATATGTCCTAAAGAGTAACACGCGAAAACATTAAATGTAATTACAAACGAAACAGCTTATAAATCGCAGATGGAATATAAATATCCGAAATTTGGAAATTCACTAGTACTAAAAATAAATGAATATAGTCAGTGTTAACCTACGGAATGATAGGTGGTTAAGATAAAAATAACCTTCCAGTGAATGAGGCCTCACAGAATAAACATGGGGCGAAAATATGTCAACAAAAGATAAGCTTTAGAGTGCTTGCACCATAGGGATGTAAATATAATAGAATAAGATAATGCAATCTCTATATAATACAAAACAAAATTATTATTTTTAATTTACTAAAACGAAAATTCTGAGGAACGTTAAAGGTAACTGGAGTCTATAAGGACCACAAAATATCACTTATTAGAGAAAAATTCACTGAATAAATTTAAAAAATAAGATAAAATTTTTTAGTGCTAATACGGAAGCAAAAAAGGATGGCTTCTCTCACTGACGATGCCAAATACGATTTTGGCGAGATATATAAGAATAAATAAAGTAAACAATACAATGCGGAAAAATATCATAGCTTCTATAGGAAAGGATGCAGGACTAGACACTTTATATAGACACTTTGACACTTACAAAAATCGAGATCACTCCAACTAAATACAGCTTAAGAAAGTGACTAGATCAATAGCTACATCAGTTTAGTCTCCATATAAACAAAAGCTATTAGCAAGCAATTTCATGCGAAAAAAGATAAGGTAAAGTTACAGGAAAAAAGTAGAGCTGACCTAGTAATCTTGTAAAGATCACGTGAGCGGCCCGATCGGATGTTGAGGTACCAGGCTCCAGGCCGGGCTTTAAGCTGGAAATAGCCCTATAAATGGTAAGAAAATTAATGTATAAAGGATGAAAAAAGGATGGGTTTCGAAGAATCCCTAAATAGATTGATGATAAAGTACATTTCCTTTCGTTTGAAGAGGCGAATTGGATGGATTCCTAAATTGGCCTTACCGGAAGGAGAATTTTCTTGGAACTGTGACGAGATATGCGCCTCAGTTATCCACCTATCTTCTTCTATATTGGACATGATGGCAATATTAGGGTCATAGTAGAGTAGCCTAGCTATCTATCTTGCCCCTCCTCGTCCCCTCTGCCTGTTAATATTCTAAAATAATCGTCAAAAAGTACTAGTGGAAAATTATACTCACCTGAAATTCACTTTAATTCCCTTAACTTCTGGTCCCAATTATTAAAATTTGCTATACGTTGGTTCCTTATTATCATATATTTCATAAATCAATTCTTAACTACATAAGTATGATTTTTAAAAAATTTAAAGTAAACCCACATTTGTGGGTTTACCCTACCAATGTATACGTTTTTTTCCTATGTCATTCTCGAGGACATTTAGAAAGGATAAACTATTCCCATTTTATGAATTCCATGGTGAATCAATTTTTTCCATCCATTGATAGAGCAAATACAGCTTTGATTCACCGAAAATCCCACCACAAAATGTGATATAGTAAAATGTCTGGTCTCCCTTGAAATTCCCATCTGCTCTTTGACCCAAGGAGACTCGTGGTCGCGTGGCATGGTGGTTAACGTGTTTATATTATATAATGCATTATCATGGTTAGTTTCGCAGAGAAAACCGAGGGATCTAGATGAGGTCGAAATTGCAGTTCACTCTGGATGGGAATAGCTTTTGGGAAAGAAGGGATTTGAAATATAAAGGAAGCATGAGGCCTACTCATATGATTATGGGAAAATTCAACTACCAGTTCTATTATCATCTTAAACGAAAAATGGTGAATACAACTCTCATTAGCAGGATATAGCCAACCAAGTCATAAGATGCCTCATTAGGTGCACAAATTTAGGCTATATGAAACAGGTAGGAATACCACAGACCACCTTGCTTGCCTTCGTGCCTTGGCGAATTATTGCAAAGCATATTGTCCTGCTCTTAAGATGATCGTCACTACAGGTGAAAACTCAATAGGGATTAATCAGAGACACGGGACTGAGGGCCGAGGATTAATTCGCATAAATGTAGTCACAGCTTCAAGGAAATCCTATTTCTTCTGATTAGGCCAACTTAGGAATCCAGCCTACTCGCCTCTTCAAACGAAATGAAAGGTACACTAACGTCAGAATAATAAAAAGAAGATATTAGCGTCGGCGCAAAAGGATAAATAGAGATAAAAAGTATTCTTACACTCAAAAGAATAATTGCAATATCTAGTAACTCAGCTCTAGGGCTATATATTTGCCACAATTTCCCAGGTTGGGGAAGCTCGAGAAAGGTTTTTTTCTTATTCATTGTGATACTTCTTTATTTAAAAACGAAGCCTCAATAAGAACTTAAAGGAGAATAGATAAATTAATTCATGTATGTTTTCACCCGTTAATAAATTCGGTAGATCAGAAAAAAGTAGTGACATATAAAAAAAGATAAATTAATGGATTTATGGCTGAGAATTAAAAGCAATAAAATTATCCAGTGCAATATTTCTGAGTAAATTAATGAATAATGAGATCTTACTAAGTTGGCCATAACAATGGTATCATATTGGTTAGGCTGTGCACGAGTCCCTAGAGTAAACTGAAGCCCTCGAGGAGGCTTCATGCTACCTTCCTCGGCACAATGCCCCTCCAACAGAAGGTATTCTAGTTCGAAGACAGCGTCGACCCGAGCCATCATATTTCCATTTGAAAGTTCCGGTTTAACTTCGGATAGACGGAGATTATCGAGGTCGTGTACAGCCTGGACTGGAGTAACCATCCATCCATGAGGCGCGTCAAGACTGAGGGTGAGCAATGGCTCACCAGGCAAGTTAATAAAAAGACCGCGTGGCAGCTTTTGCTGGGCGCTTGAAAGTACTTCATCAGGATGATCTAGATCTTGACTACTGAAGCTCATAGATGAGGAAAATGGATTGATAGAGGCTCTATTGACTAGATCAGAGTGTTCGGCCTGCATTCCAGGACTGAAAAGACGAGGTTCCCAAACGAAGCGATAGAAGCTGAATAAAGAAATGAGATATAAAGGTAAAATTAGCTTGAATAGTATAAATGAAGATCAAGATGGTGTGGACTTCTGTTTGGTCGCAGGTTCCTTTAGGTCTAGTGTTGGCTCAACCTCGGTTTCGCAACTTGATCGGAGCATCGAGGAGACCTTGTGGAAGATACCTAGTCCTGTGTCCTCTGTTATAATACTCGTGATGTCCAGTATCGGACAACGTATCAGTGACAAGTGAAAGCAATTCTTTTAACCAATTTTATGGTAAACCATTGCATCATTCCTCGACCTAGTTTTTCTTCTGCCTTCTAATGCTGCATCTCTTTTTCTCAAGCTCACTTTATCTACCTATTGACATAATTCTATGCTCTCGTTTTATCCAATGTCGTCTAAGAGTGTGTCGCTACAATTAAATTTATTGAAACGTAATCCTCTCC